GCCGTCTGACTGTTGCACTGGCGGTTTGTCATCCTCATTGCATTTTCTTCACGGTTCTTCTTCAGTTCCAGTGACGTGCATTGAAACTGTACATTACCTCGACGTCGCTTTTCCGTAATTCCTAGGATCTACTTTCCCAAGAACCAAACAACCATATACGGATTTAGCGTCTTCCACACGCACCAATCCCTAACCGAAAACTCCCTCTCAACTCTCAATACAAAAATTTTCTCTTTCACGTCCACAGTCGACTTCATCCAATCCACAAAAACCACAATTTTCGACCACTTTCCGGGAACCAAACACTCCGACAACCCACAACCACACCGAATCCCAAATCACCCTCATGAACTGAAATCCAAAACCCCAGGGCTCGGTTCTCGGCTCGGCGTTGCAATGGACAAGGAAACCGAAATCCTCTCGCGCTTAGCCGCGAACCATCTCTATCTCGCCCAATTTGAGCCTCTTCGAGCGATTGTCGTCGCTCTCCGAGCTCGAAACCCCGACCTCGCTCTGGCCGTGCTCCAAACCATCGTCGCTCACTCGGGTCGCTTCGAGAACATTCTCTGGTCACAATCATGCCCATCACCAGCTCTGCTCACTTACTTATCGACCCTTGAACTGTTGCAATTCGATAATGCTTCGTCGGTATGGAGCTTCGATCCCGAAACCCTGCGATTGCGCGCCGAGTTCTTGTTGTTAGTTCAGAATTTGATCGACCGCGTCTCGGAGAGTATGCGGAAGAATTTTGATTTGGAGAGCATAGAGAAAGAGAAGGAGAAAGAAGGGTTAAGCGAGAGCGAGAGTTTCGAAGAGCGAGCAGAGTTTTTGGGTAAGAGTGAGGATACTGGCAAGGATTTGAGAGATGCTAGTGGTGAATTGGATAGCTGTGTGAGAATTTTGGATAGGGTTTTGGAATTGGGCGTAAATAGATTGAAGCCACACTCCGTAGTAGTAGGTGCTGCTGATACTGATGGTGGGAGTGAAAATGAGGCTGCAGGCGTTGTATCTATTGAGGAAGGCGAATTGATGTGTTTGAGGAGCGTAGTTTGGGAGAACCGTGATGTTTTTGACGCGTTGTGTTGGAATATACAGAGCCAAGTGAGGGGATGGGAGGGATATGATTCTTCGGGTTTAGCAATAACGTTGAGGAGGGATGAAAATGCAGGGGAAATGTCCAAGGAGGATTTGAAGGTTCTTGGTTTGATACAAAGGAGTGTTCAGTTAGCTCACTTGGATGCTATGAAAGAGTGCATGAAGGATGGTGATGTGGATGGAGTGGTTTCGCGTATTCATTTTCTTCACCTTGATTATGGAGTGGAGGAGACTGAGTATCGGTATGTTTATAAAATTTGAACGGATTATTATTTGTACAATATATGTAGTGTTTTTAT